TGCAGAGATGTGAAGAGACTAATCTAGTCTTGAACTGGGAAAAATGTCACTTCATGGTGACATAAGGTATAGTGCTTGGTCGTCGAATTTCGGCGAGGGGGATAGAAGTTGATAAAGCTAAGATTGAAATCATTGAAAAACTTCCCCCTCCCAGCACAATCAAAGGAATTAGAAGTTTTCTAGGTCATGCCGGTTTTTACCGGAGATTTATTAAAGACTTCTCAAAGATCACCAAGCCTTTATGCGATTTGTTGGCCAAAGATAATGCGTTTAACTTCTCTGATGAGTGTTTGCAGGCCTTCAATCGATTTAAGAAGGAGTTAATCTCTGCTCCCATTATCACTGCACCCGACTGGACTTTGCCATTTGAAATTATGTGCGATGCTAGCGACTATGCGGTCGGGGCAGTTTTGGGGCAGAGGAAGGAAGGTAAGTTGCACGCGGTGTACTATGCAAGTAAGCTTCTTAATGATGCACAATTGAACTATTCCACTACTGAAAAAGAACTGCTTGCTGTGGTGTTGCTTTTGATAAATTTTGATCTTATTTGATGGGGTCGAAAACAGTTGTGTACACTGACCATGCAGCTATAAGGCACCTTCTTTCAAAGAAGGAGGCCAAGCCGAGATTGCTTCGTTGGGTTCTTCTTTTGCAGGAATTCGACGTTGAAATTCGTGACAAGAAAGGTTCGGCTAATCTGGTAGCCGATCACCTTTCTAGACTTGAGCTTGAGGCCATTCCTAAGGACAAGGTTGAGATCAATGAGTCTTTTCCAGACGAGCAGCTTTATGCTCTCCTTGTCCAACAAGCTCCCTGGTATGCAGACCTTGCGAACTATCTCGCCACAGATAAGCTCCCTGATTTGGCTTATCAACAGCGCAAGAAGTTGATTACTATTGCCAAGAATTATATATGGGAAGACCCCTTCCTGTATAAGCATTGTGTCGATACCATGGTAAGACGATGTATTCCTGAGTGTGAGGTAAAATCGGTGCTAAATTTTTGTCATAGTATGGCCGCAGGAGGTTACTTTGGACCTCATAGGATAGCAGCAAAGGTGTTACAATCTGGATTTTATTGGCCTTCTCTATTTCGAGATGCCGTGATTTTGTTGCTCAATGTGACTGGTGCCAAAGAACAGGGAACATATCTGCAAGGATGGAGATGCCGCAGACCTCGATTTTGGAGGTAGAGATGTTTGATGTATGGGGAGTGGATTTCATGGGGCCATTCCCACCGTCTTTCAACAACAAATATATCTTAGTCGTAGTTGACTATGTATCCAAGTGGGTGGAGGCAGTGGCGTTGCCCACCAATGACTCAAAGACGGTGGTGAATTTCATGAGGAAGAACGTGTTCACCAGATTCGGATTCCCTCGAGTTCTCATCAGTGACGAGGGCACACACTTCATGGGAAAAGAGTTGAACACGTTGTTGGCCAGATATGGGGTTAAGCATCGAGTGGCTACACCCTATCATCCACAAACCAGCGGGCAAGTGGAAGTTTCCAACAGAGAACTGAAACACATTCTGGAGACGACAGTGAATTCAACAAGGAAAGATTGAGCAAGGAAGTTAGATGATTCACTCTGGGCATACCGGACTGCTTTCAAGACTCCTTTAGGCATGTCTCCGTACAGATTGGTGTTTGGAAAAGCTTGCCACTTGCCCGCCGAGCTAGAGCATAAGGCATATTGAGCTATCAAGAAGCTGAACTTTGATCTAAAAACAGCTGGAGGGAAGCGCCTGTTGCAACTGAATGAGCTCGACGAGATTAGGCTTAATGCCTATGAAAATGCCCGGATTTATAAGGAGAAAACCAAGAAGTGGCACGATCACCACATACTGAGAAGGGAGTTCAAGGTGGGAGAGAAGATATTGCTTTTCAACTCACGCCTTAAACTTTTCCCTGGAAAATTGTAGTCAAGGTGATCCGACCATTTACTGTGACCAAAGTGTACCCACATGGTGCAATCGAGATTCTTGGGAATCAAGGGGCGTTTAAGGTGAATGGTCAGAGGCTCAAGCACTATATTGAAGGGGTTTCCGTCCTGGAAATCTCAACATATCATGTGGAATGAGCTATTTTACGTCAAGCTAGCGACGAAAAATAAGCGCTTCTTGGGAGGCAACCCAAGGTGAGTTTTTCTTTCATTTTTTTTTTAATTTTTTAGTTTTGGGGTATGTCTAGAGGCTCTCCGCCAAATTTCAGCTCCAAAAGCCTTGAGGAACGTATTATTTGGTGTTTTGTAGGTACACGGGCAGGCTGTTTTTTGCACAGGGAGGCTGCAAAATTAGCACAAGCAAACCGCAAATGGGGGGAGGACTAATCTGAAATAAGGGGAAGGACTGATCTGACATTTTTGAGAAGGAAGGGGGGACTGAAAGGGAGATATTTCGTTAAAAAAAAAGATGACAGCGCATCGTTTCAGTAAAAAAAAACAGAAACAAAAATCGGGGTCGGGCTGTTCGCCCTTCCCCTTCCTCCCCTTCTTCCTTCGACTTCCCACAGGCCACAGCAGCAGCAGAGCACGGCTGCCGCGCCGCGCCGTCCTCCCGCCGCGCCGCCTCTGCTCCTTCCGCCGGAGTCAGCCGCGCCGCCATCCTCGCCGCGCCGCGCTGCCATTCAGCCCTCGCGCCGACTTCATCCCCAACAGAAGGGTGACCATCGAGCAGCAGCAGTCCGCCGCGCGACCATCTCCGGCGGCCATCTCCGGCGGTCTTCACCGCCCAGCGCCCCTCCGACCCACCACTAGCGCCCCGCCCCCTTCTCCCCAGGTTTGAAGGAAAAAAAATTTAGGGTTCTTCAGAATTGGGGATTTTGTGCAATTTCGAATCTGGGGAGTAATAATTGGTGGATTGGTGGTTGGTTGGTCAAATTGAAGAGGGATTGTTGTTTAGAAGAAGAGTAGAATACATTTTTCAAGGGAAAAAGGTGTTGGATTCGAATTGCAGCTATGCTTGGTGGTTTTCATTGGAATTTGCAGCTTGAGGATTGGTTGATTTGAGGTTGCAGAATTGAAGATTTTATGATTTGGGTGCTATTGAAGTGAAATTTGGGAAGAAGACTACAGACTTGTGCAAATTTGGTGATTCAAGCAGAGTGAAGGCTTAAGAAGGTTGTGTTTTCCCAGTTTGCACTCTTGGTTGCAGATATGGGACGCCGTAGATATACCCCTCCACCTCGGCAATTCAAAGTCACTGATCAAAGTGAATATGGGAAGATTGTTTACCGCTCATGGACAATTGAAGATAGCCACAAGGTGACCGATAAGGACAGCCCAATTCTAGAAGTTCCCCCACGATTTCAAGTGGTTAGCATGCCAGCTCGGTTTCACAGGGTGATCACCGGCCAGGTTGGACCCACGATGCGGTCCCGGACTATTGAGATGACTTCTCCAGTTCCAACTCCACCACAGCAGCCTGCTCAAATGCCTACTGAAGAATCTCCACTCCCAGATTCAACACCAGTTGTATCACCTGAGAGCAGGCCAGCAAAGAGGACTCGTCTCCAGCAACCGGGCTCATCTTCACGACCACAGAAGCCTTCTTCTTCAGCACCCGCACCATCCACGACACTACGTCGTACTGCCTTAGTTGCAAGCAAGAAGAAGGCTGGTTCTTCTCCTCCAAAGGACGTCTCTAAGACGTTCGGTCAGCCTGTCCAGCTCCAGCAACACAAAGAGGAATATGTAGATATGATGAAATGAGAGGTCATCCCTTCTCAGTTCATGGACTATGAAGCATTGCAGAAGACCGAGCGGGCTGAGGAGGTGATGACATATTTCCGTAGGATGAATTGGGCAAGATTTCCGGAGCTGCACTTCCCCACCTATCCACACCTCACCAGAGCATTCTTGGCCACCTACAGCTTCGAGGATAGTGGGGTTGAGAGCAAGCTTTAGAGTACTTTGGCCGGGAAAACCAAGTCCCTCACTTTGAGCCAAGTGAACCGAGCACTTCACTTCGATGGTGCAGCAGATGCAATTCCTGATGAAAAACAGGACTTGAGTGAGTTTTGGAAGACAATTGTCGCAAATGGAAAAGACTTCAATCCAAGTTCTTCAAGGAGAGCATCGATCGAGACCCGGTGATCCCACTAGTACATGACTACTTGGCTCGAACTGTCTTGGGAAAGGGATCCAATGCCAGTGGTGTCTACACCACCGATCTCAGGTACATTCACAGTTTCGTCACTGGAGCACTGTGGCCTGGTCGCGTGATCGGGAATTTCTGTTTAAAACTCGATTTTCAGCCAAAGGAAAGGGGAGAGCTGGGTTTTTGGTTCCCAAACACCCAAGGGATGAACCCTAGAGAGAGAGCGACTTGGGAACATTCTTGGAGATATTTTGGAGGATTTCTTCGCCATTGGAGCTCGGGAATCAAGCTTGGAGATGGAGATTGAAGATCTAGATCAGATATCTGCAGTCTCTCTCTTCTCTATGGAGTAACTTCCCTTCACTTAGGTTTTGAGGACCCTAGTTCCATGTGTTAGGATCTTTCTTGTATGAAGTTTTGGATGCTATATTGTTTGATTATAATCGATTGAGGCATGATTTATTGAGTCAATTGAATCTTGATCAAATTCTCTTGATTTCTGCTTTAACCTATGATAGATAGAATCTGATTAGGTTAAGAGAGCTTCCTTGATTGATGGTGGTGAATTGGTTATACGAGAGTTAGTCAATCTACTGCTTTGTACTAGAATCCAATTTCGGTAGTGGAGTTCTGTGTTCATAGCCTCAGCTTTCTATCCCGGTGAAGGTTAGTCGCCTGCCGGGTAGTTGGACTGAGAGGGCTTGGTCAGCTTAAGAGATTCCAAGCTACTGTCGGATCTTCCGTAGTTTAATCAACAGTAGATCAACCAAAGGTAATTGCAACTTGGACCTAATTGAGGAGCTAGGGGGAATCATACCTAAGTGATTTCACAACTTGTAATTAGTATAGTAGTCATTAGAGTAGTTTATAAATCAATCCTTAATCTAGTTTGCTAGATAATGAACTGAAGCTGAGTAATAGTAACTCTAGAGACCCGTGGATTCGATATTTATTACTTGTGCCACTATATTGCAGTCCCTTTCATTGGTTACACTTGGCCATTGTTAGGTGTTGTGTTTTAGCGTTTCAAGTTTTTGGCGCCGTTGCCGGGGACTTTCTAGATTATTAGGAAAGGCAGAAGTTTGTTACTTTAGCGTTTTTCTTTTCTTTTCCACCCTTGCTTTTCACTTGGGTGTTTTTGTTTTTGTGGGTGCAGATCTGAATCATGGATCCTCATGGCTTCTCCAACAATTGGGGGTATCCACCACCACCCGAGTGGTATTACCCCGAGACTCCCTGGAGCAATCAAGGAGGAGAAGACTATGGATTCGGGCTCCAGTACCAACCCCCTTACTACGGAGAACAACCGGACCCCTGGGCATATCAAGAACAACCTCATTACCAAGAAGAATTTCTCCCACAACCAGAAGGGCCATCGGCGCTGGAGTTACCCATGGCGGCCTTCACGGGCCATTCTGCAGAGCCATGCTACACTCCACAGCCAGATCCAAACTATGAATTGAGGCTTCTCATGGAACAGTTTGCTCGAGACAGTGAGAGAACATGCTCCAGGATGGATCATTGTGTCCAGGCCTATCGTGAAACAGAGGAGATCCTCCTGAGCCTTAAGAAGAGCGTCGATGATCTTGAGCGATCTTGTGCACAACCTACTCCCGATCACCCTTATGCTACCATACTAGAAGAGGAGGAGGAAGAAGAAGGCTACAAGGACATTGTGGAGCACACTAAAGTTGTCACGGAGAGCTCTCGTGATGATCATGATCAGGAATGTCCTGTCATAGCCGACCACACCTTCCCACATCCCAAACTGAGCTTTGAAGAGGCGGGCATGAGTGAGGAGATGCAAGAAGATCTCATGAAAGAAATTGCTTGGCAGCTTGCTCTCCAATCCGTGCTAGAAGAAGAAGAGCAAGAAAGGGTGCAGAAAGAAGTTGTGGAGGATGACGAAAGTGAAGCAGAAGGAGTTCTTGATCATTTCCCAGGGGTGATACCACATGAAGAAGAAAGGGAGGTTGAAGAAGCAATTGGTGTCCAGGCTGAGGATGAAGTGGAGGTGGAAGAGGCTTGCACCGGCCCTATAATACAAGTAATATACCCACCAAACTTCGAGGAACTACTTAGCAAAGACCCATTTGCAGTGTCTCTTTGCCAGACCAAGGCCACATCGACATCGGTCCCTCTTGGTGGACGCGATGGTGGTCAATCGATGTTGTCATATATGGTTTGGGGCAATGAGACGAGAGAAGAGAAGAAGAGGTCTCGAGGATGGAGACTTCATCTGCATCAAGTGCACGAGCTTCCATCACTAGTCATACCACATGCTCATGACTTGCGACTCCACCTCATTGACGAGAACCTCAACTTCAAGGAGGTTCTAGCATGGACCGAAACTTAGGAGCCATCGTCTGGCTCACAACGTGAAAGAAGCGCTTGTTGGGAGGCAACCCAACCAGTCGGTTTGCATTTCTTTCTCTATTTCTCCTCGGTTGAGTCAGTTTTGTTATTTGATTTTAGAGTCAATAACTCAACCTTTGTGAGATTTTGTGTGGTGTTTGCGTTCTGATTACTCGCTCTTCCTGGAATGCACCGCCTGACCCGTCCATCATCATTCACCCTTGATCTGGTAACTTCGTTCTACCCTCCTTATCTTTCCTCCATTGAGGACAATGTCGTGCTTAAGTGTGGGGGGGTGTTCGATTATGTACGCGGGTGAATGTTTGGCTGTTTGTCTGCTTCGAGCCTAGTCCACTGTCCAAATTTTTAAATTTGAGGGCTCCAAGTACGTGTTTCCTTGCAAATTGCCTGCTCAGTATGCTTTGAATCGACTTCTCTATAGTAATGTGCAACCTAGGGAGTTAGTGTAGCACTATGGAGGATGTTGAAGTATAAGATTTTTCCTATCTAGCTCTCTGTTGTGCCAGTTGATTTTGTGAAGTAGTGGAGCTAAGACCGTTGAATTCATGTGGTAATGGTGACTCTGTTTGGATTGTGTTATGGACTCGTGTATCGAACAGGGTGCTCATATGGAAAATGGGAAGCAGTTGGTCCTCCATGTCGAAATCATTGAAATCTTAAACATGGGGTAAGCCCAACGTGTGTGGCACCGTTCATTGCACAAAATCGGGTTTTGGAAGAGATTTTAGTGATCCTTAGTGGGGTACTCCTACAAGGTGAAGCTAAGTTGTCTCTAGTACAAGTAAAATTTTCACCCGTTGAACGGTTTGCCTACTTGAGGATGTGTTTTTAAGGGCACGGATAGAGCTTCCGACCCCCCTTGATTTCATTGACCCTCCACACGAGTTGAGAAAAAGGAGTTAAAAGAAGTACTGTGGCGAGCGCTAGATGTACAAAAATTGCTCTTGCTCGACTAATAAGGGTCGACCGTGCAAAAGACTGCAGTTGGAACCCCCGCCAAGTGAATGAAGAAAAAAAGAGAAAAAGAAATGTAAATGAAAGTGCAAAAAGGGGTTCCAAAGGTGAAATGAAGTGAAAGAGCACCCCGGTACAACGAGTCCTTGGTTGTGAATGGTGTGAGTCCCTTTGTCCATGAACTGACTGTCTTACTTCTACTTCTTCTCATGTTCCTGGCTTGAGTCTAGTACTCGCATTGAGAGAGATAGGGGACGTCTTAGAAGACCAGTTGACCTCGTAAGCTGCTATACGATCTAGAAAATCCTCTACCGACGATCGGGGTTGTTTGTTGCTATAGAGGACTGGAGAGCTGCATTGGTTTGAGTTAGGTTTGCTTGGGGACAATCAAACAGTTAAGTGTGGGGGGATTTGATGACTCGGTATTTGCACATGTTTTCCCCTTTGTTTCTTGATTGTTTGAGCTTGAATTATTGAGTCTTTGTCCTATTTTATGCTAGGTTGTGTTCCTTTGTCACATTTCAGGTCCTAGAACATAAAGTGAAGCATAGGCGCAAGTTTCAAATCAATCAGAGATCAATTGACGATTCGGGAGAAGAAACTCGGGCATGACCTGAAGAAGAATAGATTTTTACCTCACTTTATGGACAAAGAATCATGCAAGCTTGTCATGAAAAGAAATAGGATGAGACTACGAGCGTCTGGGATCAAACGGCGACTGATTCGGAGTCCGGACGAGGGAGAAACGAAGCATTAAACAGAGGTTGAGCAAGCCACACGGGCAAGACCCACACGGCCGTGTGAACTGGCCATGTGGCCGTGTGGAAATCACCGAGCCCTCACACGGGAATCTGGGAAAGTCACACGGCCGTGTGGCCTGGCCGCATGATCGGGAATTTCTGTTTAAAACTCGATTTCCAGCCAAAGGAAAGGGGAGAGCTGGGTTTTTGGTTCCCAAACACCCAAGGGACGAACCCTAGAGAGAGAGAGAGAGCGACTTGGGAACATTCTTGGAGCTATTTTGGAGGATTTCTTCGCCATTGGAGCTCGGGAATCAAGCTTGGAGATGGAGATTGAAGATCTAGATCAGATATCTGCAGTCTCTCTCTTCTCTATGGAGTAACTTCCCTTCACTTAGGTTTTGAGGAATCCTAGTTCCATGTGTTAGGATCTTTCTTGTATGAAGTTTTGGATGCTATATTGTTTGACTATAATCGATTGAGGCATGATTTATTGAGTCAATTGAATCTTGATCAAATTCTCTTGATTTCTGCTTTAACCTATGATAGATAGAATCTGATTAGGTTAAGAGAGATTCCTTGATTGATGGTGGTGAATTGGTTATACGAGAGTTAGTCAATCTACTGCTTTGTACTAGAATCCAATTCCGGTAGTGGAGTTCTGTGTTCATAGCCTCAGCTTTCTATCCCAGTGAAGGTTAGTCGCCTGCCGGGTAGTTGGACTGAGAGGGCTTGGTCAGCTTAAGAGATTCCAAGCTACTGTCGGATCTTCCGCAGTTTAATCAACAGTAGATCAACCAAAGGTAATTGCAACTTGGACCTAATTGAGGAGCTAGGAGGAATCATACCTAAGTGAGTTCACAACTTGTAATTAGTATAGTAATCATTAGAGTAGTTTATAAATCAATCCTTAATCTAGTTTGCTAGATAATGAACTGGAGCTGAGTAATAGTAACTCTAGAGACCCGTGGATTCGATATTTATTACTTGTGACACTATACTGCAGTCCCTTTCATTGGTTACACTTGGCCATTGTTAGGTGTTGTGTTTTAGCGTTTCACCTTCATAGGAGCTTGTCCCGAGGTTCTTTTTTCTTTTCTTTTATTTTCTTTGTGAATACTTCTCGTGGTGAATGATGATCTGTAATAATGTTAGCTAGGTGAACCTGTTGGTGTGTTGTGTGTAGTAGCAGACATTGTGGACAATGTCCATCCTGAGTGTGGGGTGGATGGTCCGTGTTCTTGTCGTGTTTTATGTTTAGGTGTCAAGTCTTAGTTGTCCACAGTGTCTCGTCATGTGTAATCATAAAAAAAAATTGCCATTAGGTTGAGCACAGCCAAACTGCATGCAGTTTGCCTGTGTAAAAAGCAGTCTGCCTGTGCAAAGCTAATGGCTAAAAAACACCTAAAAATCAGAAAAATTAAAAACAAAACATTGTACTCTTGTGGTAACATGATGTAAATGACTGTGATGCGTGTGAAATGAGTTTGCGCTTGAATGAAATCATCAAAATCACCCCACTAGTGTTGAATTGCATAGTTCTTCACAATGAGCTTGACTGTTTTGACTGACTTGATATGCTTTGAATGAGCAACTCTTTTAGCAACATTCTCTTTTGTGAGGATAGTGTAACGACTTTTGGTGAAGTAGTTAGGTGGAGAACATTGACCATTCGACATGTTTGGATACCGTGCTTACTTGCATCAATTGTGAGCTTTTGATTTTGCAATGAGTCTCTCAGTTTTGATGGTTTTATGATGGGGTGAACTATATCTTTATAAAAGAAAATCCTACCTGACAAGTAAAATATAAGAAAGTTGCCATAACAATTAAAGTGTGGGTAAATATGCCAAAATCGTGTGAGGCAATCACTCATTGCACATGGGGATGAGGAAAGATTCAATTGAGAATCGGTTTGCGACCGTACGATGTTGCTTATCAAGTACGATCCCCAGTTGAGTGAAGTGCCATTAGAGGATGTGCAATGACCCTCCACACGGACCGAGGATAAGGAGTTAAAAGAAGCCCTTATGCGAGTGCTAAGAAGCAGAAATTGCTCTTGCTCGGTCACCGGTAGTAAGAAACAAATCCCACTTGTACTAAATACGACCTATTGGCAAGCAAAAGCAGAAAGAGAGAAAGCCTCTCCTTGTCGTAAAAGGTAGTGATGTGCTTAAAGTTAAAATCTTGTTTGCGAAAGGCTTCCCCCATTAGTTTTTTAGACTCATGCTTAATTAATTGCTTATGGTTGGTGTGAGTAAGCCAGACTGTCCTCACGAGATATGCTCCGCACTGATATGGTTAGATTCTCCTAATAATTGTTGCACCATAAGTTGTTAACCACCCACTACCGACGATCGAAATTGAGTGTTGTTATTTGAGTATTTGGATGGATTTGAGTCAGTCAATGGTTAAGGGTTGCAAAGACCTTGAGTGTGGGGTGAAAGGTATGACCATTAAAGCACAACTTGTCCGTTGAGAAAGAAACTACTGATTACAACTAGAGTACAAGGAAATTTTGTGTTTTGCTTTGAGTGTTTGATTAGTTAGTCTGTGGTGTGTCATTATGTGTTTGTGTCTTTTCAGTCGTTGCTTAGGGACAAGCAACAATTGAGTGTGGGGTTGTGATAATCGGCTTTAACATATTGAATTCTTGGAATTTATGTGATTATCCGTGGTATGATTTAACCAATTGGTGCTATTTGAGGGCTCGCTAACCCGAGAATGGTTGAAAAACCATTACTGCCTAGTGCCATGAGTTTGATATGTTACAGGTGGAGAAAGCACGAAAAAAGAAGCGAGTGCACAAGCAATTAATTGGGCCCAAATTGCTTTGTCTCGGGAAGGAGACGCAACTGGGCCACGAAAATTAGCTGGGTGACCTTTTGGAAATGGCTGGCGGATATTTGGTGGGGCGAGACTTGGAGGAAAGAGGTGGGCAGAATAATTGGATTGGAGGCTTCTAATGGCTGGGGCGCTGATGGTGGAAGGAATTATTGGGCTAGGGGGTGGTTTTAATTAGGACATATATATTTTTGGGACAAGAAATTCTAGAGGAGGCGGAATTAATTGGGCAACAAGGAGACGGAACAAAAAATAAAGAGGGGGATCGGATAGGAAGGGAATTTTTGGGCCGAGGGCTTTTGGAAAGGCCTGGAGGTCGGTAAAGCAAAAACGCAGCGGAGAAGGGCTTGAGGAGGAGATTCTCTGGGCGACGGAATTAAGAAGAAAGAAAAAGGCGGCCTGGAGGGGAATTGAAAAAGGAAAAAGGGAAATAAAATTTGGTGGACAGAGGCATCGCGGGGGAGAGCAATTAATTTGGACGAAAATTCTTTTTGGAGAGAGCACAGCGCATCGAGAGGTTTCCAAGGCGGCGATTATCGATTGGTGATCAGTTTTCCAAGGCTTGAGCTGAGTTCAACGAGAGCGATTATTTGGTTGGATTTTCTGAATCAAATTAGTTTGTTTATTGTTGATTTAGAACATGATGAACAAAACCCTAATGTTTTATCTCGATTTCGTCATGAACTAAACCCCGATTTCTGGGGGAAACACCATAGGATGTAGCTATTTCTTGATTTGATGGGTTGATTCATGATTCTTTTCTTCCAATCTCTATTGCATGAAATTACTTAATGCTTTGTGTTGACTGGCCACCAATACAACGATTTGTAGTTAATTAGGTTATTAGCGATAGTGAAACCCTAATAACTGAACATATTTCATGTGACATAGTAACTTATCGAAGCGACAGTGGATTAAATAAGGTACTATGCGGTCTTAAATGAGATATCGATCTTCAGGCTAAATAATTAAGTCATTGAGCTACGACAGTAGGATTTGATTTAATTGTTTAGTACGTAGTAATGCCCGACAGGGATAGCTAGCACCGTAGTGATATCCTGGCTGTAGAGTTATGGATTAAATTGATTGGAATATGTGAATTAATCTGGATAGGATAGGTAGTGAATCCCGGTGTTTCTCCCAGAGATTTCTCCCATTGATTTAAACCCGACACTTTAATTTGCTTGTTTTGTTTAATTACTTTGCTAGTAGTTAATAATCTCATTAAACCATTTTCACCTATAGTTTGCTATACAAAATTGATAGAACTTAAGGTTGTACCAGTCCCTGAGAGACGATATCCGGACTTTCCGATTTTACTACGAGATAGAAATTGACATATACGCTTTTGCCCTATCACGAGGCCATAGATGAATTCTTCTCGCAAAATCGGAAGACAGCTGAAGGACTTTTGGTCACTGAAAATGAAACATCCAAAGAGGAGATGCAGATTGAAACCTCAACAACCAAGGTGTGAAGTGCGGAACATAGATCCTGAAGTAAATAAGGGTAATG